CACAGGTTCCGCCCAGATAGACACTTTAAAGTCTTTCTGTGCTCAGCCGCAGATTATCGCCAGCCGGAAAGCCGGCTGGGGGGGCTGGGGAATTCTGGGCGTTGAAGTCCATCTGTCTTAAAGTTGCCAAGGTTGAGGGACCCTGATGTAAGGGAACCATTCCTGCTTGATTTGGTTGGCCTTCTGCTGTGAATATGTATAGTCAAACTTTTCCAATGTTGTGCTATATTGATTCTTGCTGCTGTCATTGTGATGCTTTTCATTTATATTCTCTGGTATCCTATCTAATAATTTTTTTTGTGATTTTAATTTTAATTTTATTTTCCAGATTTTCTGGATGTTTTGGTGTGAAAAAAATACTATCTGCCTTTTAGCTGTTACTTATAATCTTAAAATGATGTGCATACACAAATGGCTTCAGATATATTTGTCATCTCAGAGAATGTTTAATAAGGATTTGTTGCCTTTAAAATATGTTAACTTTAGAATCCAGAAGTTAGAACTTTAACCCATATGGTTGAAGTTGTATTATTGCTGTATTTTGGGCTGACACAAATAGGAACGAGTGCTGTATGCTATGGATGTATCTGTTTTCCTTGTGTGTATGTCAAGTACTTGGAATCTATCATACATCAAAATTGTGGCCAAACAATTATTAAAAACACTGGAAGGAGAAATCATTTGATTTGCAGCAATTGATTGCTGATATGTATTGTTTGTGAACATTTAAATTGCTCTTTTCTTACAAAAGGGCAAAGAAAAAAATTCAAGCAGTATGGTCAAAGGCTTTTGGAGTTGTTCTATTTACAGTGTAACGTCCAGTCCCTCCCCCCATCCTTTTTTATTGTTTGACTTACTATTTGATCAACTTTTCATGGGCAAAATGGTGTAGGATGTTTTAGAAAGCAATGATTACACTTGAAACCTATGTAGGAATTCAGTCAGCAAATTGTGAGTCAGCCCAAGCACTAAACAGAAAACATTTGTTGCCTTCAGCAGATGTGGAAAGTGGGCAGCAATAGTGAAATCTTGCAGGACAGAATAGTGTGTGGCATGTACTGTAGCCAGCCCTAATCCTCTAACCAGGATGCTGGGCTTTGTACATGGAATATAATGGAAGGGTATTATCTTGATATTTGTTTCAGGTAGGAAAAAATGAACTGGCCAAAGAAAATTCTCCACCACATCATTGCAAGCCCTATCACATATAATGTGCGCCACAGAATAAAAACATCCATGGTACAAATAAAAACGGTCTTTACTCCTCAGTAGTGGGCATACTATATAAATAGGACCTCTAGGCCTCCACATTTATCAGGAAAACAGATATGAAGGAATACCCAATTGATACATGCAGTCATATTCAGTTAGCGCACAGTGATGAAGAATGACATGCCCTTCCTCTCAAGCATATCCTACAGTATAAATCTGCTTCTGCATGAATCCTCTTTCTAGGAAAGCTGCTTCAGGTTCCGCCTTCTCTCCTATGCCCTCTGCATACAAAAAAAGCTGCCAGGCACATCCAAAAGGATATCATGGTTGATAATATTGAAGGCCACAAGAGATCCAACAGGACCAGAAAGGACACACCACCACCCTCCAGATCCTGCCACAGAGTGACCAAGG